ATTCAGGCCTTAACAAAGGCCCTGGGGACAGATTGGAAACTACATTGCGCATACCATCCCCAGAGTTCAGGGCAGGTAGAGAGGATGAATCGGACCCTTAAGGAGACCTTGACTAAATTAACCTTAGAATCTGGCACAGACTGGGTGACTCTCCTTCCTTTTGCCCTCCTCAGGGCTAGAAACTCCTCCTATATTCAGGGAATAACTCCTTTTGAGATTCTTTTCAGAAGATCCCCTCCCCTGGTCCCAAGATTAAAGTCAGAGCTGTTGGCTGAAATACCTAATTATGAAATCCTCCAATCTATTAGGGCATTACAGGCTGCACAGGAGCACCTCCACCCCCTGATCAGGCATGTGCACGAACTGCCTCCAGCTATTCCACATCCTTATCAACCTGGAGACATTGTCTGGATAAAACAACATCCCAGTTACTTCATGGGAAGACAAGAGTACATGTCATGCCCCAGGTATATTACTATGGGGGAGATGCAAGTAGACATCATATGTGCCTCTCCTGGCCCCACAGGGCAGCAACCGCTGCCGTTCTAGTCCCCCTCCTTGTGGGGACAGGGATAGCTGGGTCTGCCACCATCGGGACGGCAGTTTGGGTCACAAGCAACTGGAATTTAAAGATTTTGAGTGAACAAGTTGACAAAGATATCAGGAGATTGCATGCCACTGCATCCTATTTAGAGCAACAAGTAGACTCCTTAGCTGAAGTAGTCCTGCAAAATAGAAGGGGCCTAGTTTTCTTAAGGAGGGAAGACTACCATTCAGGTGTGATTAAGGACACCCTGGCTCAGGTAAAACACAGCCTCTTAGAACGAGAAGAGCTTAGAAAAGGATCCTCAAAACTGGTTTAAGTCCCTCTTCTCCTGGTCGCCTTGGCTTACCACCCTTATCACTGCTCTGGCCAGTCCCCTCTTAATCCTTATAGCACTGTTAACCTTTGGACCCTGTATCTTTAATGCTCTAGTCACATTTGTTAAACAAAGGTTTTCTGCTGTACAACTGATGGTTATGAGGGCCCATTACAATCCCCTAGGCAACACGTATGAGTCAATGAGGGCCCATTACAACCCCCTAGATGACACATATGAATCAATGGTTTGATTCAAGAAGATTTCCAAAAACAAAAGGGGGGTAATGAAGGAGAGTGCCCCTCAGACCCCCCCCCCATCCTCTGAGAAAAAGCTGCTCTCCACCTGACTCTGGAAATCCCCTCCATTGTTCGAATCATTTCCTGGTACATCTGTTTATGGTTTCTGTGGGAATGGTCTGGGGCAGAAGAGGAAGAACGTTTTGCCCTAGGCAAGAGGCTAGCCAATGGCTGTATAGGTTAAGGCTCTGGAAATCAGCCCTAGATTGTTCAAATCCTTTCTTGGTTATTCTGTGTATGGTTTCTACAGGAATCCCCTGCTTTGTGGTTTTTGTGGTTTTTATGCTTAAAAGCCCTGTGTTTTTACTGCTTGGGGTGGCAGTACAGCTCCGGAGACTGTGTCCTCAGCCAGTTTGCCTCAATAAAGCGCTTCTTTTTACTGAGACTCAGTGTCCAAGTGGTCAATTCAGGGAATTTTTCGTACCCTGAACAGGCTGTGCCCCCCACCACATCACTGGTTCTTGGTTTCTGTCAGCAGCATTCCAGAATTTTTACCCACATGATAGCATTTCTCTCAGGGGTAGAGGTGGGATAAGTCATGTTTGTTTTCATCTTTGACAGTGACACCCTCATCCTACCAACTCAGGAAAAGGGGGAGTAGCCAGGGACCTTATTGAAATGCACTTTAGCATCTTTTCTCCTGAAACATGACCCCCATATGTCCCAGCTGCCTTATGCTGCTGCCATGAGACTTCTCCCTCCTTTTCAAGGCAATTAGCCCTGCCTTTCACCCCATCTCCACCTTGCTCACCCAGATTAGAGGAAAGGAGGCATGTGGACAAGGGCCTGGAAACATCCCAGACAAAAAGCTCTTTTCTTTTTTCCTCTTTTTTGAGACAGAGTCTTGCTGTGTAGCTTTGACCTTGAGATTCACCCTCCTCCCCAGAGGGCTGTGATTACAAGCATGCACCACCATTCTAGATTTGCCTGTCTTGATTACTGTCAGAATGTAGTTATGGATGTTCCCGTTTCTGCTCTTCGCTTTGCAGTACGGTTCTGCAAAGGGTGCCTCATACCTTATGATGGTCCAGAGACAGTTTGGGGTTGCATCAGGGTTCCCCGCTTGTTTCTTCCTTCAATCCTCATGCATCCAACCTCTCCCTTACATTAATGCTCTTAGCACACCTTTGCACATTTCCTTTCAGCAACCCTTTCCAAACTACTGCCCACTTTTTCTTCTCTCTTCCTTCTTCTCTTCCCCTGGAGGATTCCTCAGACCTCTTTCTGGCCAAATGTGCTCCCCCAACCCCAGCTCTGACCTGTTTTTTGGTTGGAGTTCTTCTCAGCTCTGTCAAATATCTCAGATCTGCCTGCCTCTGTCCTTGCCTGCCATCTTTCTCTGCACTGTTCTCTGCTTCTTATTTAAAATTTTTTTACTTATTTTTAAAAAACATTTTATTTATTATATTTATTTATTTTTTGGCTTTTTTTTTTTTTTGAGATAGGGTCTCCCTGTAGCCCCAGCTGTCCTGGATTTGCTATGGAGACCAGGCTGGCCTTGAACTCACAGAGATCTGCCTGCCTCTGCCTCCCAAGTACTGGGATTAAAGGTGTGGGCCACCACGCACAGCTATTATTTTTATTTTTTATGTGTATCAGTGTATTGCATGTGTATGAGTGCACCCATGTCATGCAATGCGTCAGTCAGAAGAGGGCTTTGGATTCCCCTGGAACTGGAGTTAAGGATGATTTGTAGCTGCCATGTGGGTGCAGGGAATCGAACCCGGGTCCTCTGCAAGACCAGTCAGTGCTTTTAAGCGCTGAGCCATCTCTCCAGACCCATATTTATTTTTTATGAGTGTTATACCTGTAATAGTGGAAGTGCACCCACGTTGTGCAGTGCCCTCAGAAGACAGAAGAGGGCATCAGATTCCCTGGAACTGGAATTACTGATGGTTGTTAGCTGCCATGTAGGTGCTGGGATTCGAACCTGGGTCTTCTACAAGAACACCCAGTGCTCTTAACCACTGAATCATCTCTCCAGCCTCCCATTCTTTGCTTCCTAGGTCTAAAATTTTTTTTTTTTTTCTTTTTCAGACAGGGTCTCATTTTGCAGCCCAGGCTAACCTTGAACATGCTGTAATCCTCCTACCTCAGCCTCTCATATGCTGAGACTCATGTTTTTGGTCTTTGGCCTTTAGCTCTTTCTGACTAGAGCCATAATTCTCTACTTTTCACAACTATCTTCCATTATATGCTATTTCTTTTTAAAAAAATTAAATGTAGAAACTAGTATGCACTTAGTTGGTAGAATTCTTGCCTAGCAGGGGTTGATCCTCAATATCACATAAAACCAGACATAGTGGCACTCACACTGAAATTCTATCACTCAAGATGGAGGCGGGAGGATCAGAAGTTGAAGGTCATTTTCAGTTACTTAGGTTTAAAGTCAGCCTGGTATACATGAGATCCTGTTTCAAAATAAATGCATTAAAAAATAAATGTCTAGGCTGGGTGTGGTGGCGCATGCCTTTAATCCCAGCACTCAGGAGGCAGAGGCAGCCTGGTCTACATAGTGAGTTCCAGGATAGCTGGGGCTACAGGGAGACCCTGTCTCAAAAAGACCAAAAAAAAAAAAAAAAATGTCTAAAGTAAAAAATTCCACTACAATGAAACAAGTAAACAATAAACAGTATAGTAATAGACAGATATAAGTCACAACCCATACCACCCATGTATGTGTGTGTATTCCTTTCTTTAAAAGAATTTGCTATATAGCCCAGGCTGGCCTCAGACCTCAGATCCTCCTGGTTCAACCTGAATGCTGGCATTAACAGGTATGAGCCACAGACAGGCTACCTATATGGTCTTATTCTTCAAGGGCCCATGTTTCAATCAGCCTGGAATCAAAGAGTACTCACTAGAAGTTAGTTACAAATTAACTTCTTGGTTCAAGATCCCATTGTCTGGAAGGACATACAGAAAACCTTCACAGTGGTACAGGGAGATGGAGAGCAAAACTGGAAGTCAGCAAGAAGTGAAAGGCTGATATTAGCGGCCCTGAAATTGAGCCTGTGGAGTGTTTCATTTTAAATTCCATGTGTTTACATTCACAGTCTATTTGGGGAGTCTGGAGAGACACAGAGGTGTAAAGTGACCAGTACCGCGGTCAATAGGAGGAATTTGGACAGAAAAATAAAACATTTTCTTTCCTCTTTTCTTTACAGGTTTTGGAAAGGAACTGAGGCCTTACACTATAGGCACGCACTCCACGACTGAAATACACCCCGACCCAGAAAATCAGTCTCCAAAATGAAAAATAAATAAATCCTTGCAAGTACAACTTGGAAGCTTGTTCTAGACTTTTCCCCAGCCGCATCCCAGAGATTTCTCTTCCTGTGGGAACTGGGGACCCTTCAAGAGGGGAGGTGGCATGGACGCAGGCCCTACCCTTCCGCTTTTTACAGTTAAAAGTCCAAGTATTTTCTCAAGCACTGGTTGCACTATTGCTGCAAGGTTTGCGCAGGAAATTGCGAGCGCAATTTCGTTATCAGCCTCAGTCCCATGCCCGTCTGGTGCAAGAAAGGCCCCAAAGCCTAGCTGGGTGTGCCTGAGCCCAGAAGATGCACCAACCCTACATGCCAAGGACTGAGCTGGATCTCTGAGACACTGCCCTTTCTCTTGGGCGTCTGCAGTAGTCAGCTGGGGTTTCAGGAACTGGATTCAACCCGGGTCGGGTGGCCTGACGTGCCGGCTCGAGTCCCTCAAAGCCTAGACACTCAAGACCGCAGCCTCGCGCGCGCACGCGGAAGCCCAGACAGCGTTCCTGACCGCCAGCGGAGCCAGCGCCAGTGCTGTGACATCGCCCTTCACTTGGCTCCGCCCCTCGCGCGTTGCCAGGGAGATCAGGTGACTCCAGGCTTACAGCGAAGGAGGCGCGGGTGACGTCAAGGGCGCCGCCGCTCCTCCCTCGCTCAGGGCAGGTGCGGCGGTTATAGTGTAGTCTGGTCCAGGCTCTAGCCGCTCTGTACGCAGCCGCTTCGGGGAGAGGAGAGGTGAGGGGCGGTGGACCCCGACCCTGGCCCGGCTAACTGAGAGCAGCGAGGGGTGACGCGCGGCCAGGCTGGTCGGGGGCGGCGCGCCGACCGGAGCTTCCCCGGGGGCGCCGTGGGCTTGAGGCGAGGTCGGCGGACAGCGCCCCACGGCTGCCGTGGCCTCGCGCGCGCCCGAATTCGCGCGCGTGGACTGAGGGGTTCCGGACTTCTGCGGGTCTCGCTTGGCCCGGAGGCTGCGGGCTGGCTGGCTCCACCCTGTCTCGAGGGAGTCCGCGGGAGGCTGCTGGATTTCTTGGCCCTGGGCTGCGGTTTCTGAGGCTTTGCGAAGCGCGGTGCGGCCGAGCTGGCTGGGAGCGGGAGGCAGGCGAGTGCGCGGGGTGGAGTGAGCTGGACGCGGAGGAGGGCCGCGGGCCCGGCGTAGGCTCGGGGTCTGAGTGTAGACCTGTGGAGGAGTGAAATCCGAGCGGGGTCCTGACGGTAGAGGAGTCTGGAGAGGCCCAGGCCAGCGCTCCGGGGAAGGACATGGGAGCCCTGGATTGGAGGTGGAACGAATACCCCTGGGTCCTCGGACTGCGCGCTGGGGCTTTTGGCCAGGGGAAAAGTTTGGAACGTTATGTTGGGACCCGTTAGAAAAAAACGTGAGTGCCCAGCCCAGGCATTGGATGCTGGGAAGCCATTGAAGCGTCGACTGGCTTGGGTCTGTCTGATCGGGAGACATTGAGGTTGATGTGATATTCCGGAAAAGAAGTGACATCTCACTTATTACATTTTAGACCAGACCCGGTGGGGTTACAAGCAGCCAGATACCAGTAACACCTCAGCAGATTTTTAAGTTTTTCTTTTTATTCAGAAGGGACACACCCAACTGTGCCTTATTTTCTTGTATCTCATTTGACTGGATTAAATTACTGGATGAGAGCTATGCTTACTTCAATTTGCATGGGGACTGTGATGCCCACAGCACATTTCCCTTAAGAGGTTTCAGAGTGTCTTGCAAACATATCTCTTATCCCTAGGGTGAAATTCAAAGCCAAGTGACTAACTGGAGTTTTAATGTGGGTATCAACACCCCAAATAATGAATGTGGGCTGTTAAGATGTAATTGTAAAACAAAGATTTCTAATTCAAAGTTATTTTCTAACTTCTCTCGGCTTCTCGGTGTAAAGTGTGTGTGTGTGTGTGTGTGTGTGTGTGTGTGTGTGTGTGTGTGTTTGGTTGAGACAGGGTCTCATGTACCCCAGGCTGGCGGCAACTGCCAAGGCTAGCTTTAAACTCGGGATCCTCCTACCTCCACCTCCCAAGAGCTAAGTTTGCATGCAAGCGCCATAATGTCCAGCTTTGTACTCGGCTTTGTTTAAACGTTAACTGGCCATTTTATCTTAATTTACTGAGAAATATGATAGAAAAGGATATTATGGTATTATAAGGAGGAATGATTTGGTGATTTATATTTTCTTTCTAGCCCTGAAATATATTGATACATATTAAACATAAAATCTTTTGTTTTCTGGGAAGTGAAATGGCTGAACCTTCCCACCAATTTGTATTGTATTTGTTTGACTTCAAAAAAGAAAATTGGACCTCCAGGGATCTTGTACGGTAAAAAGCAGTTAAGGGAATTGCTAAGAACTTAGGAAGGTGGCTGCAGCTGGTTTATGTGTAGCTGTAGAAACCGGCAGCATTCAGAGCAAGTCCAGAGAGGTTGAGAGCAGAGAAAGGGAACTTCCAGTCAGCTCTGTGAATTCATTCTCTGTAAAAGAAGTCCTAAGACAGGCGATTTTAAGACAGTCCCAATAAAACTACATCTGTAAAGGCCACAGTAGTTCTTAACAGTTTTTGTGGGACCTTCTTAAGAATTTATGGAAATTAGATGTTTGGGGCACATCAAAATTATTTTTGTTAGCTGTTTTCCAAATCTCTGATCATATTTGAACTGGTGAACTAATTATGCCTCATTTGGAAAGAAGCAGGCCTTCCTTCCTCCCCCACTGTCAGGGCAGTTAACTAGGCTAAGAGTTTTTGGAAATTTTCCACTTCCCATCTACCCTTGCCAACCCCACAAGTTTTTTTTCATTGGTGGAGAATTTAAGAGTTCATTGTCAGGAAAAAAAAAATGTTACTGTGTTTCCGTAAACACAAGCTGTGATAAACACCAGGACTGGTCTTCCAACATTCAGGAGACATGGTTTCCCTTATTCGGAACTACACCAAGGGCTGGGGATATATAGCGCAGTGCTAGAGTGCTTGCCTAGTATACACATAACCCATGTGGGTTCAGTCCCAGCACCAAAGTGGGGAAGATTGCTTGGTGTGGTATGTAAATGTGTAATCCCAGCATTTGAGAACCAGAGACCAGGAGGATTGCTAGTTCTAGACCATCCTGGGTTACAAGGTGAGTTTGAGCACAGCCTGGGTCACGTAGTAAGACCCTGAATTCAAAAGAAAATAAAACAAGAGTTGGGCCAAGGTGAGAGGCATGGACTGGTACATTTTGAGCCCTTTACCTTTGTCACTTTGGGTACTCCTTTCTTGGCAAGGACATGTTTCTTAGCCTTGACCTGAATGATGATCAGTACCCCTCTTCGCAGAGGTTAAGGAGAATTAACCAGAAGTTATTTGAGATTTAAGCTACTCTAAAGCAGCATATTTTAATTCTTGGATGAGCAGTATATTTTGAGATGTAGAAATATATATATATATATATAATAGAAGATAAACTTTTAAGTCCCATTTATACTCTAAAGCCTTTTTTTCTTTCTGGAGTCTATGGACCTAGTTGCCGGTCAGCCTATAATCAAGATCTGGAGGCCTGAGGTTAAGTTCCTGTTTGTATTTTATGTGCAAATAAGCACATTGTTCATTATCTTACATTCTTTTTCCCTCTTACTCCATGTTCTTTTTAAGCACCTGCAGTAAACTAGTAACAACACAGGCTGTAGGGCTGGCAGCCTTCCACCCAAAATCCTTTTGACAGCAAGATTGGAAATTGTTTCAGCCCTAAAAGGAGTTAGTCTTTAAAGCTCATCAGAGGTAGAATCGATAACACTGTTCACTAAAGTGGATGGGGAGTGAAACAGGCATTTTTTAAAAGTTCCCTATCCTGTTCAGCCACAGGTCCTGCTCTCCATTCAGGTGCTTGCTGCTGTTCCTCTTGCTGCTATTCCTCCCGACTCTGTGGCGCTTTGACATCAGCTCTTAGGCTTCTGACATTTGTTGGTGGGGTAAATAAAGCTTTCTCATCTGAGGGAAATTTAGACTTCCTGTTTTCCTCAAGCTGAGTGGAGTGCTGTGTCCCAAGCCTCCAAAGCTCCCCACATTTGTCCAAGGCAACTAATTGGCTTGGCTATAAAATGGGAGTCAGCAATTAAAAGCAGCAGCATGAAAGCAAGGGAATTGGACTTGAGTTGACTCTCCAACCCCACAACCAAAAAGCCTCATGTCACTTTGAGAACGATATATAAACCCCTCTACAAAAGGGTGTAGATGGTCCATAATCTATCATGATTCAAGTTAAAATTTTTCTACTTTATAATAAGTCAAAATTTTACTCATACCATACAACTATTCCATTTTTTATTTTCAGTATATAAAGTACAAGAAATTTTTTAGCACTTTTCTTTTGGTTAGAGTCTCATGTAGCTCAGGCTGACCTATAAATTGCCACATAACTGAGGCTAGCCTTGACCATTTAATCCTCATGTCTCCACCTCCTAAGTGCTGGGTTTATAGACATGTGCCACAATATCTGGATTTCAACACATTTATTATTGTTATTATCATCATTATTGAGACAGTCTCATTAGGTAACACTAGCTGGCCTTGAACTCACAGAGATCAGCCTGTCTCTGCCTCCTGAGTGCTAGGCTTAAAGGTGTTCATCACCATACCTGGCTCAACACGTTATTGTAAAATGTGCTTTGTAGTTGATTTTGTACAACTGCAAGCTAATGTAAGTGTTCTAACCACATTTAAGGGCTGCTGGGCTAAACTATGGTGTTTGCTATATTAACTGCATTTTTTATTTATAATATTTTTAGCTTATGGTGGGTTTATCAGGATGTAACCCTTTCATAAATGGAGGTTCATTTGAACTGATTCTTAGGCCTCAAAATCAAATATGTGAATTTGGTTGAGTCCTCATATCTAAAGCAAGGGAGACAAATGTTTGAGTCCGACCTCTGTGGGCAGCAGATGGCAGGGGTGACTGATCTTTTCCTGAACTCTTAATTAGATGGTTTAAGGGAGTGTTGGTAGTTGTGGTGGGAAGGTTAGTTTTACCTGAATGCACTCATTAGGGAGTAAGTGCCTTATTCAAAGGTGCCAATCATTAGGGACTTGTGCTAAAGAACTGTTAGTTAATCCCAGGAGCATTGGCCAGAAATACATTACACTTGAAAACTATCTAGACATGCTCAGTGGTCAAAGAAAAGCAGAGATAAGAAAAGCAGGGATGATGAACAGTTGAACTGCAGCAATATTCCAGAGGAAGATCTGGGAACCTCCTAGACTGTCTGCCACATTAATTTCAGCATCAGGACTGTAGGCAGGATCAGTTAGGGAGATTATGTGTGAATAGGGGGAGATTTGTAGGAACGTACCTGTGTCTTGAGTTGTAATTAAGCCTAATACTTGCTGCTTTTGTGATGCCATCCCTTCTCCCCCCTCCTTCCTTCACCTCAGCCTTTCCAACACAGTCCACTGTAGAGCTAGTCTGATTGGTCCCAATTTGGGTAGCCTTCTGGCTGTGATTTGTGGTGATTTTTAATATCTGGGGGTGGCTATATAAAACTCAGAGAGAAAAGAATTTCAAGTGAGGATGTGAAAACCTGTGTTTCTCACACTTAATTTGTGTACCACCTGTTTGATTTTTGTCTTATCTCCATGCCGTCCTTCAGCTATTTAACACTTTTCTTTAAATTGACTCACTTTTGGGCTGGAGAGATGGCTCAGCAGTTAAGAACACTGGTTCTTGCAGAAGACCAGGGTTCAAATCTCAGCAC